TCTTTCCTGTGTCAGACTCCAGGCCAGGCTGCACCGAGGACCACCTTATCCATTTGAAAGCTAAAATTAAATTGAAGTCTCCCTGTCCCTTGGTGATACAGAATTAGCATCCTCTGCCATTTTCTGTGAGATTTCAATTAAACCATCTCCCTCTTTGGGTCTCAATGTGCTCATTGATAAAATGGCCAAGTTCTCTCTAGCCCTAACATGTGTATGGTCTATAATGTAAGGGATAGTTCTTCCATGAAGAGAGGGAGAGAGGTAAACTCAGGTGGCCTCCTGCAATATTAGTCCTGAGCTCCGAGTCTGGTTTGTGTCCTCCCAGCCAGATGGGTGAGCCTGCAGGGGCAGGGTCCCATTTCAGAGTGGGCGGGAGAATGTCTGAAAGAACTGCATGATCCCTGTGAACAGCTGGAGGGGCCAGGGACGAAAACACAGTAAACAGAGGTGGCTCAGAAACGAAGGGGGCAATGTGGGAGGAAGGGCTGACTCAGGCCTCAGATTAGATGAGACACCCTTAAATGCACAGGCTCAATCCTAAACTTCCTCCTGCTACAACACTGATGGAAAGGGCATAGAGATGCTGGATGGATGCTTCAGTAAGCCCTCTGCTGCTGCACGGCACTGGCCCGGGGCGAGTCTGTAACAAAGAGTTGTTGAAGCCTACCCAAAGTCTGGAGCACACAGCAGAACTATAAAACCCCTTCTGTGTGCTGTCCTGGAAGACTCATCCAAATTGTGACCTGTGCCTGCATGGCACTGAGGCACACGTGGGACTAAGAATCCAGCACCTGGAGCTGGATTTAGCAATTTACTTTCTCGGCTGGGACCAAGCTCCACCAGCCAGGGTCTCTCTCTCCCTGCTCCTTAGACGCCCACACTCACAACGCTAAGAGGCCCTCTTCACACCTGTGGTCACCATAAATCTGCATATCAGTTATGACAATTTTCTAGCAGGAGACTACCAGTGTGGAAGACAGGGCAGCAAAAGCATCATGTGGATACGTGGCAGGGCTGCCCATTCCACACCACATAAAGTGCATTAGAAGCGCACAGAAAACCCTGAATTTATGCTTCTATCATCTATGCTCAGATGAGCTGAAATGCACCCCGGCAGGCATGCACCTCTAGTCAGGGTCCCAACTGTTATCAAGGTGACACACAACCTTAAAAAAGTAAAAATATGAATAAAATGTGAGGCCCCCATAAGTAACTGAAGTCCATCTTCCAGCAATGGTCACCTACAGGAATTCTACTGTAGTCTGGAAAAATCTCAAGAATCTCCCCCTCAGGCTTACTGACAAGCCTCTGAGCTAAGAATAACCTTCCTAGGGGTGCCCCCAGTTTGGCTGAGTAGACACAAGGGGACAAGGCTTAAGACTCAAATGTAGTATATTAAGAGGGCACCTGAGTTTACCTCTCTCTTTTTTTTTAAAGTTTGCTATAGGGTATGCACACTCACGTGCATGCAAGAGATAGAAAGTGAGAAATCGCAGCCCCAGAGGGGATGGCCACACTGCAATCCCATCTCCTCCATTTCCCCACTGGGATTCTACATAGCATGCATGCATACCAGGCTTGATTTTCAAGTTTCTGTGTCAAGGACTCAAACCACTAGGCTGGTCATGTGGAATCTAGCCCACATTAACCTCCATGCCAACTGCTGGCACTCTCTTTATGAAAACAACTTTTTTTTTTTGAGAGATTTTCACTGTAGGGCGCGTACGCTCGCCAGACAGACAGAGAGAGACATAGAGACAGAAAGCGAGAAATCACTCCCCAGGGGGGATGGTCACGCCGCAATCCCTTCTCCTCCATTCTCCTCTCAGGATCTTGGACACGCACGCACACGCGCCCGGCGTGAGTTTTAAGCCACCGGGTCCGGGACACGAACCGCGGTCGACTACGTGGGAGTCCAGCGACATAGCCATTACGTTAACTGCTGGTTCCCAAAACAACTATTCTTTAAATCATAGACCACAAGCATTTTGGGGCTAGAGAAAACTTTTATTAACAAGCAAACTAAGGTCCAAAGACAGGGATGTGGTTTAATCGAAGCCTCCCAGATGATGGAAGAGGAAGAGACTAACACTGCACCACCATGAGCACAGGGGCAGACTACATCTGGGATCTAAAGTGCTGCTATACACAACACAGTCGGGACACTGCAAGAGGGATGAGCAGAGCCAGTTCACAGGGAGGGCAGAGACAAATTCCCATCTGTTCATTTAGTGGGTCAAGTTGAACGACTACAACTTTTTTTTTTTGAGAGATTTTCACTGTAGGGCGCGTACGCTCGCCAGACAGACAGAGAGAGACATAGAGACAGAAAGCGAGAAATCACTCCCCAGGGGGGATGGTCACGCCGCAATCCCTTCTCCTCCATTCTCCTCTCAGGATCTTGGACACGCACGCACACGCGCCCGGCGTGAGTTTTAAGCCACCGGGTCCGGGACACGAACCGCGGTCGACTACGTGGGAGTCCAGCGACATAGCCATTACGTTAACTGCTGGTTCCCAAAACAACTATTCTTTAAATCATAGACCACAAGCATTTTGGGGCTAGAGAAAACTTTTATTAACAAGCAAACTAAGGTCCAAAGACAGGGATGTGGTTTAATCGAAGCCTCCCAGATGATGGAAGAGGAAGAGACTAACACTGCACCACCATGAGCACAGGGGCAGACTACATCTGGGATCTAAAGTGCTGCTATACACAACACAGTCGGGACACTGCAAGAGGGATGAGCAGAGCCAGTTCACAGGGAGGGCAGAGACAAATTCCCATCTGTTCATTTAGTGGGTCAAGTTGAACGACTCCTTAGAGCATCGAATGTTTATGATTTCTCAAAACTGGACTATATTTTTGGGACCAGCAGTTAGCATAATGTCTATGTCACTGGACTCCCATGTAGTAAACCATGGTTCGAGTCCTGGATCCAGTGGCTTAAACTCACGCCGGGTGCATGTGTGTGCGTGCCCAAGATCCCGAGAGGAGAATGGAGGAGAAGGGATTGTGGCAGTGGCCATCACCCCGGAAGGGTGATTTCTCACTTTCTGTCTCTCTGTCTCTCTCTGTGTCTCTGGCGAGCGCACACGCAGTATAGCAAAAACCTCTCAAAAAAAAAACCAAAAAACAAAAAAACCTGGACTATATTTTTGATCATCTCTTTTTTAAAGTTGGGCTTTTTGAGGTATCATTTATATAGAGTAAATTACACCCTCTCAGCATATCACTCTATGGGGGTGGAAAAGCTCAGCATCAGCTAACTACCACCACAATCAACATATAAGTTCGTCGGCCCCCATACTCCCTTGACGGTATAACGAGGCCCCTATAGAGCCAACCTGTACCCTATTCCCTGATAACCACCAACTAGACTACTGCAATACAAGTTTCCCACACTGTTCAGATTTCCTGTAAGTGTTCACCACATTTCATTCATTCTAACATACACATGCCCCCACACACCAGGTGTGAACTCTCTGAAGTGAGGATGCATTTTAAATCCAACAGCATTTTACATTATAATTGACAATCGTTTTTCTTTTCAGAGAAACATAAAATAAGATGTATTTTATAATCTGTAGTGCTTTAAAAAATCAATAAAGCACAATATTAAGTCTTTTACGTTATAACATCCATGAATATCATATGCTAAACGTTATTCTAGACACTGGAAATATAAACACGACATGATCCTCAAGGGACACCATCACTTGAGAGAAGGAGATAAACAATGATGATATTATAATGAAATAAGAATGTCTACGACAGACATCTGTGACAATGTCCCACTCACTAGGACTCAATAAGATTATCTCTAGATCAGTAACCATTCTTTCCGGAAAAATGTCCCCTAAATCACATCCTTCTATATACAGGGAAGAGGGTGAAGGCAGTTCCCATTCAGCTTCACTCCGCTCATTCCAAGAATGAGTTATTACCACACCATCTGACATATCGTCTAGGAATAATCCAATTATTTTTTCCATAATGCACTGCTGTCGTAGAGAAGTCTCCTTTTAGTGTTCAACAGCTGCAAGGCTTTTATGATAATACTGAAAGAGAAGTCGCTGAAAATAACCGCTGAATCTGCACCAGGCAGATGCCCTGGATCCCTCGGAGACGATGTTTCAAGGTCCCCAGATTCCTCCCTGGACCACATTTAAAGGGGAATGTAGAGAAGAAAAGTTAGTGCCCTTACCTGGTTCTTGAAAGTGGTCTTCATTTGACAAAGTTCTAGACAAGATAAGTATCAAAGCTTCTTTAAATTGGTCAAAATGTACCTAAAAGATAATTAAAAATAAATTTAAAATGATTTCTGCAGCCCTAAGAATGCAAATCTATCTATAAGGAACCAGAACTGCTTGTTTTCATCCTGACAGTCTTGACATGCCGTTCCCTCTTTTCTTCGTGACTCTTCAAGCACAGAAGGGAAAACGGGCTGATTATTTCTGACATCCAGTGTCATAAACACTAATATCAATATCGATATTTATTCAACCCCAAGGGGGAAAGCTATGCAGCAAAACCTTCTTTATAAGCTCAGAAAATGCTACGTTTTGAGTTCTTAGCTCCTTTCATTTTTTCTGAACAAGATCAGAAGAGAAAGGTGTTAGGTTAGATATTAGGAAAAACTTTCCAAATAAATGATACGTTGTAACGGTGCCCCACAGATGCTTTCATCTCTTAAGATATTCCAGAAGGGACCAAGCTACCTTTTGAGGATGACTTGAATAGTCTTGCCTGGGGCAGGTATATAATATTTATCTCTTGAGGTCCCTATGATTCTATAAACAAGCAAAAATCAATAGCAAACACAAAAGATAAAAGAATCTTGAGAAGTATTTCCTAAATTCTTAAAAATACAATTACCTAGACAGAAGTAGGAAAGAACCTTCGTTTTATTTAAGTAGTCAGAACGGCAATATTACTATGGTTAAAAAGGTATAGCAGTTTTCTTTAGGGCCAGTATATTCTTCTATTTCTATAACTTAAAATTATGTTATTTCGTCATGGGACAGGAAAGAGAGGATCGTTCTTCTCATCATAATTCTAGCTTGATAATGTGGTAACTATTGATACAAAACCACATGCATAAATACAAAGGTGTGTGTCACTACAAAATAATGCCTAAATGTTTAAATATAGGTGACAAAAACAAAAAACAAAAAAACACACACCTTGCAAATTAAATCGGAAAAGCGGCCAACCTCACTGGTTATCTAAACAAAGGAAGAAAGATCAGCTACATCTTGTCTCTGCAAATTGAGGTAAAGGAGAGGAATCCATGGAGATGTGTATGTCATAAAATTGTATTTGCCCACAATTTACCACACTCTTCCAAAGTATATATGATTTCTCAATCATATTAGCTTAACTGAAATTATTTTCCCAAACCATATTCCTCTAGTCTTACGAAATTTATTTATTTTTTTTAAGAGAGATTTTTGCTACAGGGTGTGTTCTCTTGCCAGAGAAACAGAGACAGAAAGAGAGAAATCACCCCCCCAGAGGAGATGGCCATGCTGCAATTTTTTCTTCTCCATTCTCCTCTCAGGACTTTCGACACACACGCACACATGCCCAGCATGAGTCCAAAGCCACCCGGGTCCAGGACTTAAACCACGGTTCACTACATGGGAATCCAGTGACGTAACCACTATGCTATCTGCTAGTCCCACATGATCTTCATTTACTTTAAAAATGTTTTATTGTATATATTTAAGGCATACTACTTCAGTATTTGCTATATGTATACATACTGAAATAATTACCACAAGCTAATTAACATGCCTATTACCTCACATAGCTATCATTAAAATTTTAAAATTTTATTTATGGTGAGAAGGCTTAAGATTACTCTCTCAACAAATTTCAAGTCAGAATGTATAGAATTCAAAAACCAACATATTTGGGCAGGCCCCATAATCTAGCGGTTAAGAGAGCTAGGTCCCCCATGGCCAACTGCATTTTGAATTCTGGCTTCCAGGACCTGAGAAACAGGCTGAGTTCATTTACACCCCAAAATTCCAACAGGGGAAACAGAAGAAAAGACATTGTAGCATGACCATTCTTTCTCCCTCCCTCCCTCTCTGTGTCTCTTGCATCTCTGTCTCTCTTTGATGAGCACACTCACCCTTTGGCAATTAAAAAAAAAAAAATCAGCATACACCAAGGAGCCAGAGCAGAATTACATCAAAGGAGGCAGAACAACTGCTAAAGAGCCAGGGCACTACTATCCGTGAAGGGTTAAGACGGCAGAAATGTAAGCTGTGCTAATCAGGGTTCACAGCTGACAAATCACCCAGGAGCCTAGGAGGAGCCGGCCCAGATCTGCTATTGCCCAGTCAGAGGAGGGCTTCAGGCACCCCGTCAGGTCACAGGCATGGCCAAGGCCAAGTTCCCAACCAGACAGTTCACCAATATCACATATCCATTCAGGGCCACTTGATAGGCACTTTCTCTTCTTTTTTAAAATATTTATTTATTTATTTATTTATTTATTTATTATTATTTTTTTTAATTTACTACAGGACACATGAGCTCACCAGAGAGAGACAGGAAGAGAGAGAGGGAAAGTGAGAAAGCAAGCTGCCACTTCCAGGACTTGGATTTCAGTTGGCCCCGTGGGAGTCCAGCACCTTAACCATCATGCCACCTACTGGCCCCGACAGGTACTTTCTAATTCCCATCTGAATCAATCCCTTCTGCTCAGTGCAGGCATGGACATACACCCAGGCCCAAACCAGGTGAGCCTAACTTCTAACCCTGACTCTGCTGCTTACTTTCTGCTGGGAATTTGCTAAATCACTATACCTCCCTGGGCTCTGGTTTGCTCACTCATTCAAGAAATACTTACTGAGAAGCTGCGACATGTCAGGCACGGTCCTGTGCCTTGGTGACATATCAGTGAATGAGAAGGATAAAATTTCTGCCACTGTAGAGCTCAGTCTCTCAGAAAATGTCACAGGGAGTTGGGCAGGTACTGTGCCAAGAGCAATGCACATATTTTATCTCAGTTCTAATAACATCTCCCTCCTGGCAGCATTAGGGAGCCAAAACAAGAACTGCATAAGCTGTCTAGAACATCCTGGGATTTACTACGGCCAGCCAGTGATAGTTATACTACTACTAGCAGGTCGAGTAATGGGAGTGACTGTTCCCTCACTTTTAGAGAGAAACAGGGCCATAGTTTGAAGCAAAGCAACTGGCATGGGAGTAACCTGGGGGTGGGGTGGGTGGGTACTGACAAAACAGGGAGGTCCAGGGACCTGCCTTCTCCCCAGGATCTGTGGCACTGCCCATCGTCAGAGAAATCAATCTAGTTTGCTGTTTTAAAGACATCAATTCTGGGTTCCTTGTCTTTATTAGGATTATTATGGAGGGGCCCAAAGTCTCCCTTTGCTGCAGCTGCAAGCTGAACAGAAAGAAGCTCCCATTCCAAAAGAGGTGTGTTGGCCAGCTCCTGGCCTGGTGGTTAAGGCACTCAGATCCAATATGCTCAGCCCTATGGTTCAAGTCCCAAACCTGGTGGCTTAAAAAACACATAGGGCAGGTGTACATGCATGCTCAAAATCCCAAAAGGAGGGAGAGATGGAAGAGAAGGGATTGCAGCATGGCCATGCCCCTTATTGGGTGTTTTCTCCTCTCCCTCTCTCTCTGGCAAGCACATATGGTCTCTAGCAAAAAATAAAAGGATGGGTCTGTCTTGAGAATTCCAAATCCTTCACTTGGCTCTGTGGATTCCTCATGGTCTTCAAGAAGTGTAAGTATAACGGTACAACTACATAAGGTATAGAGGCAATTGGAAAGGGCCCTGTACTCAGTGAGTATTAGCTGTGAAGTCAGCAGCTATCTATGTACCTTAGTTTTGTTGTTTTTGGTTTTTTGAGATTTTTAAATATATAGTTCATATGCTCATCAGAGTGACAAAGAGACAGAAAGCAAGAAACCATCTCCTAGGAGGGATGGCCATGCTGCAATTCCTTCTCATTCGTTCTCCTCTTGGGATTTTGGGCACATATGCACACATCCCTGGCATGAGTTGTAAGCTGCTGGGTCCAGGACTCAAACCACAGTCAACCATGTGGGAGTCTAGCAATGTAACCATTACGCCATCTGCTGGTCCCTAGATACCTCAGTTTTACTCAGCCTGACAAATGAAAGACAGTTATAATCTGGAATTAATTCCAATCAACTTCCAGGGCTTTATATGAGGCCAAAGAATTTCCCTTGAATATGGTATTCCAACAAGTTTTGAGGCCATTGGAACTTCGTTTATATGGAGGTTGTTCATCTCACGGCCTCAATTATCTAGCGTCCAGTAGATAATCAGGAAACAAACAACTAGGGTCAAAAGTTGGGGTGGGGGACCAGTGGGTGGGATGGTAGTTAATGCACTGGACTCTCAGATGGCCAAGTGTGGTTTGAATCAGACCTGGTGGCTTGAAAATCACACTGAGCGTGTGTATATGGATGCCCAAAATCCCAGGAGAATTGAGAAGGGATTGAGGCATGGCCATCGTCTCTGAAAATGATTTCTCCTTTACCCTCTCTCTGGCACATGCAAACACCTATGGCAAAAACCTTAATAAAAAAAAAAAAAGTGAGGTGGGTGTCATAAAGCTCATGTACCCTTCTCATAGAAAAGCCCCAGGGCCCACTCAGGGACTTTTTCTTCTTACTCCTCCTGATTTATTAGACTTCATTATCCTGCTTTCCAGCACACTGCAAGTCAGACGTAGCAAATGCAAGACAGGGTGCCCCACGGTAAGTAGGAGAGGTAACTAGTGACATATGGAGACAGGAAATACGTGAACCATCCTCCTTCGAACAAAAGATAAAGTTTATTTTTTCTATTTTATTTTATAATTTCTTATTTGCATTCATTACATAATTTTTATACTTCAAAACTATTTTCAAAACCTTATTTTAAACATTTATAAACTATTAAGAAAAATGAGGACACTGGCACTCAAAAACTTAACAGGCTGGGGTCATTTAGAGTTGGGGCAAGGATCCATATGCCACTGAGTCCTGAGGGTATTGTTCTTATAATATGGAAAAATGTGGTGGATTAAAAGGTGTTTTTTGTTTTTTTTTTGTTTTTTTTTTTTTTTTTTTGCTATAGAGGGAGTAAAGAAACACAGAGAAGGCCATGCCACAATTCCTTCTCCTTCATTTTCTTCTTGGGATTTTGGGCATGCACATACATGTACCCAGCATGTTTTTCAAGCCAGCCAATCCAGGATTCGAACCATGCCATGGGCCATGTGAGATCCAG